CAGCTAGGATTTCGTTGCTGAGATTCCTTTGGTCCTCCTGAAGTAGCTTCCTGTCAGGTGTCTTGGTTCATGGGATCTCAGAACCGTTGGAAACCCCCCCCCACTCCGAACTAAAGCGGGAGGGTGGGGGCACACACCAGCAACACAGATCTTGCTGTTAGTCTCTAAGGGCTTGTTTGGTAGTCAGCCAGCAATTCCACACCACTGGACGGAAATAGCTGTTGGGGTAATTGTCCCCCCACCACTTCGCCCCAGTCTCATCTGCCACCGCCTTGGAGGTGAAATGCTCACAAAATGAGTTTAGAATGTATCAGATGCTCTGCTTTTAAGTGGATGCAATTTTTAGCAGGTGTCCTGGGAGGGGCTTTCTGGTCACTCAAGTTTTCCTTGGGCTAGCGGGGAGTCCTTCTCTGGGCATATCCCATTTCTCTCCAGCTGGTTGGGAGATGTCTCATCCAACCACCCAGCCGCGTTGCCTCACCCCTCCCTCACCGAGACCTCTCTGCACTGTCCTTCAGCCTGTGCACACTGCGCAGGCCTTCTCGGCACACGGAGCCACTTAAGGAGAAGGCACCCCACTCTCTCTGGGGCACAGAGCCCAGGAGGGGCCACATCTCACAGATCAGCCTGACATACTCAGAGCTTTGGCCACATGTCCTATGGGCTGGTGGGACTCTGTTGGGAACAGAGTGGCCAAACAGCCCTTAGCCTAACCTCTGCATTGGCGACCCCAGGGGGATTCTTTATTTGTACATTCTTGTTACTTCTGTAGTCCTGGGGATCACCCCAACCCTGGTCTTGAAGTGGGTCATGGCAACCGGTGGAAAGCAGGTGTGGGTGGGATGCAGGGGTGGAAGGGGGGGAAAACTGTGGACAGGCCCAATGACAGACGTGCAGCTTTCTTCCTAGAGAGGCAGGGCACAGCTGGCCCCACATAGGAGCCGCAGAATGGATCTGGCTGCTTCTTTAGACGCAGCCAGCCCTCTGTCCCAGGCCCTGGGATTAGCCTGTGTGGCCTTTCTCGTGGGCTCTTCTCTTACTTCTCCCTGTGCCTCATCAGCCGCCTCCCTAAGGGAGGGCAGGGCTGCGGACTGTACCAGCTGCCCCCTCAGAGGGCATGACATGAAAACGACTGCCTTCAACATTTTTGTGCAGCATTTCAGCAGAAATGTATTCCTCTTTAATGGAAATGTCCCTGCAGTGATCACAACAAAAATATTTGGTGTGAGCCCAGCTTACATGTGTCCATGTCCCTAGGAGGCTAAACAACGGGGCTAATTAACTTTTTGAACCTTCTGAGGTGGTCTGGTCAGAGCGTCATTGTCCCCCATTAGGGCGCTGCTTCGCCCCGCAGGGTCATCTGCGCGCTGCACTGGAAGGAGGACACACGGCTGTTTTGCTGCTGACGGGGTTTCCATGGCTGCTGGTGTGGTCACGTTCTCTGGTGTGTGAGCTAGCATGTCATGGTAACTCATACATGTAACCCTATAGCAAGAACTTTTGGGGAGAATGAGCAAGAATTAAAGGAAAAGGAGAAAAATTGAAGAAGAAAAAGGCTTCTCCTCAATTACTAATAATGTTGTAACCACATGCAGGAACGATTTTACAAAATAATTCTGTTGCCAGCGTTCAGAGAGTCTAAGAAATACTGCACGTGAGCGATTTGTGATTTGATCCATCTCCTAGTAATTTGGGATTAAAACTCATCATCCACCTTGCTCACTAAGAATTCGGTGTAAAGGGCTTTCAGAAAGTTTGTGGACAAATAGTGTCTCGTGATTCCTTTTGATCATGAGCCTTTTGAAGCACCTTCTGATGGTGGGTCCAGGAAGAGGTCTCCGGAGTGGGGTGCATGCCGTGAGTTACCGCCCTGGGGACACCAACCTCAGTGACATCAATACCCTGGATCCCAGACCTTCTAAGGCGCTCTGGCCTAAGCTATCATTATTATTATTT